TTGGCTCCGGGCGCTCTCCCGCTGCGCGTTCGGGGCTGCTGGGCAAGATTGCTGCTGCTGGCTCCGATCCTTCTGAAATTTCCAACGCATTTAGCGTTGGCCATATTTATGGCTCCTTCTCCTTTGCTTTTTTCCGCTGCTGCTCGCTGTCCAACCCCCGAGTTCCTTCAGGCACTACTAAAAGTGCTTTATTAGCAATAAAGTTGTCAAAAACAAAAACATTTTTGCTTTTCTTCATCGCTCCTGCTCTGGACACTGGTATACGTTTTTTTTTTTTTCCCCCTTTCCTAATGCTCTCCACTTGCATTAGGGTTAGGATGATCCAAGTTACTGTACTCAAGGGAAACAGCTCTCTCTGAGGACGGGAAGAGCGACCGCAGGGAACGCGCAGGAACCCGCGGTATCCGGCCCGAGTCACACCACGGAATCAGAGCAACATTTACGCCCTCTCAAAAGGCCCAAAACGAAACGCAGGGAGAAACCCTACCTACGTCGTTGCAACTCTATGCTGTAACAGTCACACTGGAATTTCAACCTATATTAACTTACAAATCGAGACAAAAGCTCTAAAAGCCAAGGTACTGGGAAACACGCCTGAACCTCCGCTCCCAACGTCTCTCCTCACCCATGCGCTCGGGCAGCACAGCTCATAAACGCAAGGTTGGTTGTAGGAGACTTTTCTCTCTGACGGTCTGAGAAGAGTAATCTTTTTTTCTGAATTTCAGGGGTTTTGCAAGTTTCTTACACCCCCAGTGACAACAGTAACTCCTGTCTTTAGTAGTAAGCAGATAGCTAGTTTCAATGATGCTGAAATGCATGAAATGTCAAGAGCAAAACTACGCATTTAAAAAGACATGTCCCTATCTGTGCTACCAGTAACACCGAAAAGAGAGAATTTTAAAGTTGCCCGTTTACTTTTGTTACTGAAGTAAAAAAGAACAAAAAAAGATTTAACTCCCTTCTCTCTCTCCTAATTTAGGGACTTGCAAAGTTCTGGATCAGGTTCCACCACTAAAAGCTTCAATTCAAGAATAAAGAAAACCCACGATAGTTTAAATCTGATGTCTAAAACATCAGATAACTTATCAAACTAAAACTTATCAATTTACGTAAGCTCAGACAAGACACAAGTATCTCATGTCTGCGTTCCCCATGAGGCCATCTCTACTTCCGCGAGGCCGGTGAACCCACGAAAAAAATCGGTCGTACCAAAACATATCCACAGGAAGAATTCTTCTAACGAGACAGGATGCATTTCTGCCTCCCAGCTGCTGCTTTTAACAATTCGACTCAAGTTAGTGATGGTGGAAAACGCGGGGCTGTCAAGCAGGGGCTGAACTCTCGCCGCGAACGGAGGCCCCGGGCTGAGCAGGTCTCGTGGACCTCCTCCCTCCCCAGGGACCGGCGCCGCGCGGTGAAGAGACAGGCGCCCTGTCCACACGTCTCTGTCCGCTGGCGGCTCTTCGCCGCGATGATGGCCTTCACGATCTGGATCGGCCTACCGTCACCTAACTTCTCGCTCCAGATAAGCTACCGAATGGCCGTGAGGTGACAGCACCTGCCAGGCAGCGGAAAGACCGGGTGCACGTCAGGTGGGAGGCTGCACACCCCGCTGGTCCCCGAGGCCCACCGCTCATCGCTTCGGGTGATTTTAAACTTAAACGCTCATCGCAAGGTAAACTGCCTTATTATGGGAAAGTAACATCTGACACGCTTCACAGTAAAGAACTAAGACTGCAAAAGAGCACTTTTAGCATGTACAGCGTATAAAGAAAGCCTGAAACTATTGTTTTCTAAAGCCCACCCATGCTCTGGGTCTTCCTCCAAGTACTCGAGAGAAAACGGGCTGTGACACCAACACAGTCCCCGAGGGAGATTTTACTTGCCTGCTGTAGAAACATCTGCATGGAGTCTTGGTTGATGACAGTTCCCGCAGCAGCCTGGCCCAAGATGATCTTCTCGGGACTGGACGCCAAGCTGGGGCTGGGCTGCGAAGTCGCGGGCAGCGGCGCTGGCCGCCCAGCGGGCGGCGGCGGGGGGG